ATAGAAAAAACCACCACGATACAAAATATATTGAACTCTCTTAATGTAAATTTTTTCCTTGAAAAGTTTTCTTGAAATCTCATATGCTCGAGAGAAGAAAGCCGACTAAGAAACAAAATTTTGCGTTTAAATGAATTGACACTCAAAACAAGGGCATCTAAATTTCTCAACTTTAACAATCTATCAATACCTGCAACAAAGTTCAATATATCAATATTATCGCTCGAAGGAAAAACTTATAAAACTATAAAAAATAGGAATACTAAAATTGAATCAGCTGGCTGTCTAATTAAGAAGAGGTGACAGCATACCTTTATTCTCAATCCATCCAACTAAATTATTCCCTCTAAAGAGAGATTTCTGAGCTCTTCAAAAGGAAGAAGTAGGGAGGCATTAAGATACCAATCTCCTAATTTCCACTCCCTAGTGAAATCAAGATTAAAGTTGGATTACTCGCACAGTGGTGTTGCTGCATTCAACTTGTTGCCATTGACAACAGTCCGCTGCAGCCTCATTATCCACCCATGAAGGCAATGATTTTCCATCTGGAAAGTTTGTATTTGCTTTGAGGTGCAAAAGAGTAACCCTCTCTTCCTCCCAACACCCTAAATAATACCATCCCTTTGGTAATGAAAGCACCATCATCAATAACGTCACCAATAACTTAATTCCCATCTTTCTTAACTGCTAATCCACTAATTCTTAAATTTTTTAATGGAAAAATAAGGTTGCAGAATCTCCAATTTGTAACGTGGAGTTGCCATGTTAGATGACTCATTCTGAATTATAGACTTTTTCGTCAAAGTCGTAAAGTTATCTAATCGATTAATTGAAATTTTTCCATCTTTATTAACTATCAACACACTAAGTGAACGGAACTGTTTCATAGAAAAAAACGTGGGATTATTGGGTGAAAATTTAGTGTATTTCTTTTCATTTGTCACGAAAAAAAGACCAAACAAAAACTTAAAACCGTGTCACATTCCTGTGATTGAATCTACACCGTGTCATATTAGTGTATTTCTTTTCATTTGTCACGAAAAAAAGACAAAACAAAAAGTTATATCCGTGTCACATTCTTGTGATTGAATCTACACCGTGTCATATATTATTTTAGATTTACCGGTAAAGTGATCAAATTTTATTTTATTTTTTATATGCTTCTAGAAATGAACATGGAAAGCACGATCACTTGGCATGTCCCACTTTCTTTATTTCTTTGTAAAGCAAAGTTGAATTGAAATAGAAGAAAAATAGTGAAATTCAAATCTGAAAATAGAAATAATTGTAGAAACAAAAACACAAACTCGTGGACGTATGAATAAAGAGATTGAGAGGTGAGAAGTTACCTCGTTGGTAAGGGTGCCATTGAGTCCACACTAGCAAAGATTAAACCTTCAGAGAAGTCATTACTCTAATGATTTGAAGTTTGAATAAAGCTTGCATCTAGCCTCCAGCTGGCTTAATTGCCTCAACTCCGTGCTTGATAAACATTGGAGTGTGTCAACAAAACCACCCACCCCCTGTGAACTCTCACGTGTACGAGTAACACGATCGTAAACAATCTTGATTGTTGCTTATTAAAAGATAACGGGTCATATCTACATTAAAAAAGAAATTTTGGAGTGAATCGACCAAAATGAGATTATGTATATGAAAACAATAAACTGCTGGAATAGTTTATGTCAACTTAAAGAAGAGTAATGTCACTACGGTAGTCTTTCTATGTGGCATACAAGTGGTGATTTGTGATTGGATGCATAAGTCAAGAAAAAACTACCACATTAATGCACCAAGAGTTAATCTATTTGTACAACTTGCTTTATTGATGAACGAAGTAGCATATGGATGATGATTGAAATTGAATTAAATGCGTGAAATGTGAAAGGTGTTGTGAGATTATATCAAGTGTAAATTCGGAAACCAAGGTGTAAAGAAAAACGTACATGTAGCAAGATTCAATGCACCAAATCACGAACCAGGACAATAACACTGTAAATTCGGAAACCAAGATGTAAAGACAGAAGCACATGTAGCAAGATTGAATGCTCCAAATCACGAATCAGGACAATAACACTAACACGTGGCCTTTTAATTTGGCCTTTTATTTTTGGCCCATTTGATTAGTTTCCTGTCCCATAGAATTTTATTATAGATTGTTGGACGATTCCTTTTAACCCATACTGCCAACCGTGTAGAGCCAAAAACTGCCGTCCATTGACCGTCTCCCTTTCCATGGTTCACGAGCTGCTTTTAGTGTCCGTAATGAAATAGAAATATAATGGCCTGTATTAACCTATCGTTTCGACTATCAAACAGTTTGTATGAGATCACATTTCAATGTAACGGCTAAATTTATGTTTAAAAAATAAAATTGAATTCAGCATTGTAAATTAAGGACATTCAAATTTCTGAGTCATGTTTGTATATCAAAATCTGCACAAGTTGTGTCATCAATTTTATCAATGATGTTGCGACTTTTGAAATACGGAACAAAAATACCTAGTAAATAAATCTTTTCTTTAATAAACAATTTAAGATCCTTACTATATATTAAATAATACGTTATAATCAAGAAATAAAGATAAAGACTTTACCCAAAATCGATAAAACAAAATAGATCTTACGAAATGTGTGGTTAAAATTAATTTTTTATTTTAACTTAAATTTTTATCAATTTTTTTTAATTTGACAAAACAGGGGATTAATTAATTAGTGAATAAATATAATATTTAGGGTATTTTGTTATACAATAACATCTGACACCAATAGCAAAAGAGCAATACCAACAGGGAATTGATTGCTAATGCTATCAGATATTTCAGTTTTAATTTTTAGCAAACAAATAATTACCTATTTGTTTCCCAGACCTTAGCGGAATATGTCGGAGTTAGCGACGGTTCTTGTTCCGTTGCTAATTTCCATTGTTGATAATCCTGATTCTAGTAGTGATAGTATATTTTCTAGAAAATCTATTTTTAAGTAAAGAGTAATGTTATTCATCCCCAGTAGGGATGAAAACACCGTCTATGTGACATTAAATGATAAGTTCAATGAAAGGTGAAATTAAATGAATTATTTAATTTCACCTATCATTTAAATTCCATATTATGGTCACATAGACTGTGTTTTCACTTTTCATCCCTTAAGGAGAGAATGGATAAGTTTTAAATAATAATATTTTATTGATTAAAGTTTAAAATATGAAGTCGTTTAACATTAAAATAAGCATTCTTTAAATCATTCATCAACGTAACTTGAAAATAAGGCACTTGATTATGCATATAACAAAAGACGATGTTTTAAAATGCACTATCGGGGCTGTTATTTTCGTATTTCAGTTTTTAGTTTTTAATTTTGAATTTATTTTGGATTTTGTGTTTTGAATGTCCATTTTGAGATTACTGAAAACGAGTTCATTTTGTCATTTTGAAAAATTGTTTTCAAAAATTAAAAAATGAAGTTTGGCGTTTTCCTTTTTCTTTGTAAATTTTAAACTCGTTTTTAGAAATTCGTTTATGAAATTAGGTAAATAAACGTGTTTTCAGTATTTTCGAAAACTGAAAAATGATCAGAAAACAGTAAAGAGAACATGCCTTAACTTATTTTAAAATTTTTGCTTTTAGTTAATCAAATCGTCGAGCCATTAAACTTTGAAATGATGCCCCCCGAGGAGATGAATTTTGATTAAGACTACTTACACAAGCCCAATATACGGGAATCATGAAAATTATATTATGGCTGCTCTTGCAAGGTGTATTACAATATTAAAGAATAAAGATAAAAATATTTTATTTATAGTATATTCGAATCTTATGTAGTATCAAACATTTGAATTTGAAATTTGTTGAATATGATATCAAAATTACTCAGTATGCCCAGAGAGATTAGATTTATCTAAATGAAAAACGGTCTTTTTTTTTTTTTTCACATTTTCCTTCTTTTTCAAACAACTTAAATTAATGAGAAAATCTCCAATTGAGCTTCTAGCTTTTAAATTGTTGATTCCATGGACTCTGTTTTTTCATTCATAATCAGTGAAAAGTTGAAAATCTGTTTGTTTTTTTTTTCTTCACTGTCCAAAAATTCTTGCACTTATTGTAAGTTTTTCTCAAATAAGGTTTTTTGCTTGAAATTTGTATTGTTTCTATATTTTAAGACTATATCCTCACTCTGCTTTTTCTCCTTAAAAAAAAACTGTTTGACAATAAAATGGTTGTTTGATCTATACTTTTAATGGAGAAGACTAATAAGATTCTTAATTTAGACTTTAGCCATTAAAAAAGAACTATTTGAGAAATTGCTTATCTTATAACACAAGGAAAGTCAAAATTATTATAGTAAGTGAATTTTATTTCTCAAAGGGTTTATTCTTTGATGATCATTTGATCCACCAAAGAACCACCACTAATGTCACTGTAATTTTTTTGCTTGAAAAGTTATATCAAAATCTCATATGCTTGACATAAGAAAGCTGACTAAGAGATGACAAAATGTTGCGATCAAATGAATTGTCTCTCAGATCAAGGGCCTCCAAATTTCTCAACTTTGACAATCTATTGAAAATCAGTTGGAATATTAACTCAGCCTCCAGTTCATCAGCTCATCTGATCACCAACAGCTTCAACAGCAAGACCAGCAACCCACGTTCTTCAGCAAAGCACAGCAACAACACAGCAGAATCTGGAGATAAAATGCTGTTGCCTTCAACTATAATTCCAGCTTGAATTCAACTGATTCTAGCTTATTCTAGATACTTCCTTAGTTTGTTATCTTGTTAGTTTGTTAGATAATTGGTTAACTATTTTCTCTATAAATAGAATAGATTGCCTTGTAATTTCCTTAAACTTGAATGAATGAAATTTCTTCATCTTCCCTGCATCCAGCAGGCCTATCCATTTTCTCTATCTGTTAGTTTAGTTCTTTTAATTTCAACTTCGAATCTCAGATTCCTCCTTGATTTTATCATGGTATCAGAGCAGGAAAAAGAAAAAAAAATATTATGTCCAAAATTGCATCAGCAACTTGGAAAGAGAAAAATGAGCACAGGGGCTCACATTGTAGAAATTGCTTATGAAGTCAAGCCAACGATCTGAATACACCGAAATGCCCTCCGATAACTCAAACATGAGAGAGACATTCTCTACAGAAATGTCCTGTGCAATCGCATATTCACACGGCCGCTTATGCCCCTCCAAAAGACACTGATCGGCAGCTTTCAGAAGATCTTGTGCAATATCCAAAGTGACATCAACAGAACCTGTGTATATGTACCTCATCATCAACTCAAGAACATCTCCAACAATGACTGAAAAGTCCCGATCAGATTGTCGATCAAAGGGAATCAAAACGAAATTGAATCTGCTGAACAGCAGAAAACTAAAACTGAGAAACAGGAAATTGAAGATAGAACCTACTGGAATGGCAGGCTTCTCAAGATCTTCACAGAGTGGTTGATTTATTCCCAGATAGGGAATCAAAATGAAACTGAAATGAAATTGAAAATTGAACCTGCTGGAATGGCAGGCTTCTCAAATTGATTTTATCTTCTAAATGAAGATATGAAGATTTTGAAGAAAGGTTTTGAAAATATTCCTTCTCAAAAGAGAAGGAAGATAAAGCATGATCCAAGGCAGACGAAGCGTCTGTGATGAAGAAAACTGAAATTGATTCGAAACAAGATGCTCTTTGATTGCATCTCTACTCTCCTTCTCTATAGTTCAAGATCACTACAAGAAAAAAGGCCTTTTGCAACATGTAAAAGGCAACATTCATCAATTGCATGTTGCTAAAAGGGGTCTATGGCAACATTCAGCAAATGTATGTTGCTATTGGTTGACAAAATTGAGTTTTGGCAACGTTTTTTTAATGAATGTTGCTAATACACTTTTTCGCAA